TGTCCATCTAGCAGGAACAGGAAAGAGGAGAGGACAGAGAGAAACCTATATTAGCAATGCAGCAAATTTTCTAAGGGAAAAGCACAGACTATTAAATGATACTAGAGAAGTTGTATCTTTATATTATGGGATGAGATCTTCCTGATTATTTCAATTCCAGTAAGTCTGTAGGATGGACTTTTAATTTTCCTGAAATATGAGAAAACAAGAAAATTAAAATGGACCCTTAATGGGGAAAGGTAGGCCAGCTGCCTTTTCCCAGTCTCTCATATTGCTAGCGAGGACAGCGCAGCCGCAGCAGTTACTTGAGGAGCGAACTACCCTCTCCAGCATAGATCTTGAGCTCGTGCTCCAGAGCAAATCACTGTTCTCCAGCAGCACAATGAGGTGACTAAGCAAGGTGAGGGCCCACTTGCCTTTGCTATCTATGCTTCTTCTGATTCAGGCAGCACGAAAGTCTAATGTTCTCCAAAATACAAAAGTAGAGGCTCTTCTGAATCGAATGATATCTTCTTGTGTTTAGTCTGGATTCCTGCCCATCTGCGGCAGAGACCTGATTTATCTTTATCATTCCTTTACATGTCTCAAAATAACTTCTCAGTAATACACCAATTCTGTTTATGTGGGTACATAATCACTGTTAAAGCTGGTGTTCTCATCTTAATCAAGCCATGTTCATCTTAGACCCAATGCATAGGGTGGGTCCATAAAATCCCCTACAAGCTGTTTTCCTGGTCCTAGATACAGAAAGGATCTACCTCGCAGTATAACTTCTCCACATTCTTAGAGACCATTATAAAATTGGGGTTTGTTATACCAAGAGATACTGTCACCAGGAAGCTGAGGCTAGAGAAAACACTCACTTGTAAACATCTACAACCAGTATGCTTTCTCAAACCTGTCCTCTCACCATATACCTCATGAGCCTTCCAGCTGATGAAAAATGTATCAGATCATTTAAACTGCTGTTACTTGCGAGATCAATGACTGCTAAAAAATCACAAATGTATTTGTATAGAGTTAGCATTCTGTCAGTGTTTGTGTCACTGCTACACTGACCCAGTTAGAGCTATTTGAAAACTATAGCTATCATTTACAAAGAAAAAGGAGGGGTGTCAGTGCTGCAAAAATTAGCTATTGTAGTTACTGTGTTCTAAAATGAAAGACTAATGTAAAAAGTAATAACATGACCTTTCGCAGATATATGTAGGTTCAGGACTGAGAAATACACTTTGGTATTGAAGATCAATTACCAAAAATCAATTGGCTACATTCATTACAAATGTGAAATATCTGGCTCCCGCAGTCATAATTTTAAATGTAAACTTGAAAAATATTACTGGAAAACTTCAAATACAAAATTAATATTTTATGGCCAAACAAGAAGCATATGTAAAATACAGAAATAAAACACATATTCCTGTTCTCAGGTGCACATTTCTAAGTGATATTAGAAAATTCTGGCAAATGAATTCAAAGATGACAGCGGTTTGTGGAAGTTCATTACTACCATCTTCATATTTCCATCTGAAGAAAAATACAACCCCTTCTCTTGCACATCATACAATTTTCTTTGACAGTTTCACTTATAGTTTTTCTGAATGGTAACACCCATACTCTTACGAAATGCATGGGGGTTATTCAATGATGAGAAGCCATCTAGACAACAGACAGTTTTTCTAATTTTTCTTAAGGTATACTATGAACCCTGACTCACATGGAAGACTACAGAGGAGTAAATAATCAACACTGATTCCTGCAGCAATTGAAGTTCTCCTGGGAGCTATCCCAGCAAAGTACCAACCAACCCGTTCAGTTTATAATACATAACAGGATTGCAGCCTGACAGAGCTTGACTGCAAATGCAGTCTTTTTCCAGTGCTTGTCAGCAGGAGTTCAGCAGATATACTCACCAGACATAAATGTTTGTAGATCCAGTGATTTTAAACAAATTATTGCAATTTGTAATAGCAGAAAATTTAACCCTCTCTGGAGCTGACAGTTATTGCCTCTAAAAACTTTGTTTCATAGAGTATTGTGAACACATGCTCCACTTGAACTATATGAGTTGTCCATATTAATTCCACTTTGGTAAGCACAGTTTTGGAAGATCAGCAGTCTGAGGAATCAAGCACTTCATTGAGATAGTAGTCAGTAGCATTAGCTCAGCAGTTACGAAAAAAAGGTAGAAAAACTTGATATATACTTCCACAGTATACAAGTGGCAATATACTTACTAATTTAGGACGACTGGGGAACAGCAAAGTCACTTACTACCGGTTGGTACTTGTATCAAAATGAACTGTGTAGCTTCATTCCCGCATGACGCTCATTGATGCGGTCTGGGTTTGGCACAGCTTTACCCCACTCAGCACACCCAATGAAGCAGTCTGCTGATGTATCGTGCCCTATCAACCTCACAACCTAACTCCACTTACTGACATCCACGCAAAGCAGCTTTAGTGTGGGTAATTTTGTCCCTAGCCTGGCACTCACAGCAAATCAGGCTTTTATATATTTTATCATCAGGTCACTGAAGTGATTATCGCTACCAGTCTGTCTAGCCTACGATTAAAATCATACAGTTCAATCAACGTCCGCATCGGGCTGACTCGTTTCGCTGCGGGCAGGGCGGCGGCCAGCGCGGATCCTCACCCCCCGCGAAGCCAAACCGAAGGAGGAAGCGAAGCCCCGCACAGGCGCCCCGCCGGGGCCTGCTCTCCTCCGGGCCGCCCGCCGCCC